CGGAGTTTCTTCGCCTCTTTTTAGTCTAAATAGGAATGGCCCTCAGGTCGAAGTGGCTGTCTGTGATGGAAACTATACCAACATCTGTGTGCCAAAGTACTGCTCTTTCAGACAAATCCCGACTAGATATAGCCATGTGATTTACGGCTACAATCATTCGTAATCATAATTTAGTAGAACTTACTCTCACGAAGTAGTTGAGCATGTTCATCGAAGGTACGATAATGAATGATAGCACTGGCATCGTCACCGGAATTCATCGCTTGCGCGAAGCGAACGCAGCTCTCACATATCTGGAGACAAAGAATTTTTAAGATATTTTCCAGATATGTAAAGAAGAGACTAGGAAGGTATTGAGTTATACTGTAAGATACAATAATAGAACAGCTTGTGTTACATTGAACAGTGCTGTGTAGGCAGGCTCTCGGCCGGTCACCCAGCTTCCATCCGGCCAGTCCCCCACTTCCATCGTTGAAGCTCAGAGGCAAAGCCCCTGATAAAATATTTTGGGTAGTGGAGAAATAGGAATGTCAAAATTTTAACAAGGTCCATGGTGAAAAAAAACCGGAATAATAGTCGCCAAATCCAAATAAATTCCCCTAGCGAGAGCATTTGTACGAGCAAAGGGCGAGCAAAAGGTGTTGTCGGATGAGATCAGCGGGCAGTGCTGTTGGTCGATGTGATCGCCGCAATGAATCCCAGCTGATTTCTCCTGATGAACAATTCCCTGCTCGATTATGATGATACGCCTTAGATTTGTTTGCCTGTATGACACATACAGAGTTTTTTGGCTATGAAATTAACGCCTCGCGCGGGTGGTGCAATGGGCGTAGACTGTTACAGCTCAGAGTCAAATTCCGGATCGATCCCGCACCCGACAAATCTTCTACCTCCAGGGCTACTACACTGGCACGATTCGTTTCAGAGGACAAAATTACTGAGTTCCACATCAACTACCCCCTTAAGTCATGTATAGACCTTGTCACCCTCGAAATACACTTTAGTACTACTCTACTCTCCACTCTACTTTTAGCAGAGTGCTTGGCGTATTCCAGAAAGTTATTGATCGACGTTGAAAGCTTTCGCCTCGCCCTAGACTTTAAATATTCAGTACGCAAGAACGCACTGATTTCTGCATAGATAAAATTGCAAGAAATAAACGGTTTACCTCTGTGGACCCTGGTTCTCGCCATACGATGTGAATGGGTACGCAGAGGCAGTAGCGCTACTTTTTCCGATAAAAATTGCGCGGGAACGAGGGTGCAAGGCAGCAACACTTGGGAGCTGTTTTTGGCTCTGCTCGCGCTGTTAGCCAGCCGCGCGCCCAACCATAGATGAAAATACATCTCTGTATTATCTGCGTCCTCTCAATTCTGATTGCTCTCTATGTATAGTGTAGTTCGCTGCGGATGGTTGGGCGTGTCCGTGCGGCTGCGCTTGGCGCGGTGCCAAACTCGTTCTACACCAGTTGTTGAAGCGGGCAAGTGACAATACTGTATCATATCCTTCGTATTACTCGTTTTCTACCACTTTTTGTCGCATGCGCGTTTCAACAAGAAGGCAGAGAACGGCTTTGATAGGGTGACACACTCATACTGGCTGACACGCCCAACCGTCCGCAGAGAACTAATAGTGTATCTCTCACTTCGTGTTGGTTGCGGAATTTTGGTGTCGACGAAGAAGCTGCACCTTGAGGACAGCGTTGGCGGAGTCCGGAATGGCTCGTAGTTATCGCTACTCTACAGCCCGTTCTCGTGCAGATTAGGGAAGATGGCACCGCACTGCCGCTTCGTGCTCATTCATCTCGCACATTGCAAAGACCATTCAAGAAGGAAGTGGGTGTACAAAAGGCTCACCACTCCAATAGTCCGCCCAGTTGTCAAATTGCTCATGTCTAACAACGTCCGCTGCATCATGTTTTTCATTGCCCTTCTGAAATTACCAAACTTTTCATTATAAAAATGACTTGATCCATTGAGAACTAACCTGTGGGCGTCAATAGCAAGATCGATCGTTTTCACACGCTCTGAGTCCTCCTGAACATGGAACATCTGCATCTTGAAGACCAAAAATTTTCCAAAAGACAGACCTTGAAAAGTTGCCAAACGGCATCAACTTCAGTCAAGACATGATCTCGAGTACCAGCGACCAATCGGAGCATTGATGAACAGTAATAGAACAACTCTCGGCGATTCTCTACACCTATTCTAGGCTCGCGTAGATCCACCTGTGTGACAATCATATCAAAAAGTTTTCAATACCAGTATTCCTCACTGACACTAACACTTACAACCGGCGTAGTCTTTTCCGTAGAAGACTGACTGAAGAGGAAAAACAAACTCCGATAGACTAGAAAATTCTACCTCATTCAACATAAAGTCCTGACAATAGCCCAGCTATCCATCATTTTTACTTATTCGTGCCCAACTTCAGCCAGTCAAAAGTGCCTCTTTTCGAGTGATATCAAACATGACCTGCATTTGACTTTGGAACCCCGTAGTTTAAATAATGTGGGGGGAGGGATGGGGCCGCGAGGTTCCGTTGTTCCGCGACGGGGGAGAGGGGGGCATTTTGGCACGATCGCTACTTCCCATTGACGTGTCGACCCATCTAGACAGCCTAGTTGACAGGTTTTACCATGATGGCTTGACGAGCTTGCTCCAGCTTCACAAGAGTTCACAGGTTTCACCAGAGTGAGACTTTAAACCGGAACTAGTGAAGCAATGAAAGTGCAAAATGCCCCTCCCAGTCACCGAACTGTGGAGTATTCCTCCTCAGTGGTGGATGGGTAGATCGCATTGAGTCACTTGACAGATATGGTATTAGATCCCCTGCTTAATGAATGAAAGACCTGCTGTCTTAACTTTACGGTGAAAAGACGACACGAAATATTCCTGTACGTAATACTATGGAAAACAGAATTTAGAACGAAGATCACCTTTTCCAATGCCGATACCGCACGGGTGAGATCAGCTAAGAATGTGTAGATACGAATGTAACGACGTGCATGGCCAGGTGTGATAATAATGGAGAGAGGTTCTGGAGGAGTGATTAGCAGACGTGTTTTTCCAGACTCTGAAACAAAAGAATCACTCTATTCTTTAAAGCACTA